CATGGTTCAAGATGATGTGTAAAAATTCAAGATTTGTGGGAAAGCTTGTGACTGTAGAACGGAAACAGTTATATATGATGGCTCAATCAAACATGGAAATGGACGACAAAAGTAGAGTTTCAACATTCAGCATATGAGAATAACTTCAGAAATTCATAATTCTTGTAGTATTGCATTCTTCTCATGTACAGTTATAGGTTTTGTTAGGGTATTTGAAATTCATTGTGTCAGTTGAGATATAGATGGATTGCGGACAAATTTTAGAATCATTGCATGGAAGCTAGGTATAAGGTACTTGTTCGGTAGAAAGGTATTGATGAATGCCATGAGAAGGTTTTTTATGATTTAATATATGGTCGTTGTTGTACCTACAAAAATGCAAGCTTACTAGCAACTAGTTTCTGAATCAAATCGAAAGTATTTGCCATGAATGTAAACATGTACCTGCAAAGTATGTCAATAAATTTGTGTGATGTTGACCAGAGAGCTTTATCATCTGGGCATTTATGTCGCTTCTTGCATTAGGTGTTAAGCATAGTAATTACGGATGAACTTTGTGCCAATATCTTCAATGCACAATGTATCTAGCATGTCTACATTTACAACCCTCACTGATTCTGCTATAGCTATAGGCATTTGGCACCAGGAAGACAAAGGGCATGAACTTCACAGTTGCCCAACCTTTTGTCATGTACCACCAGTCACTTTTTTACTTAAGGTGCACATAGCAGTGCACACAACAATGTGCAGAGGGCCTACACAAAAACAACATGATTAGTGTGCACTATGCACAGGATTGTACCCTGATTATTTGAATATTTTGATCACTCAACAGTCAACAGTCAGGAGTGAGGAGTAATTATTGAATATCACATTTATTATACATCACTTGTCAAACAAGAGCATGATAACACACATTTTGACAAGCAATCATGGTAGTATTCCAATAAGTTGGACAGTCATCTCCCTGGGCGTCATTTTTCCAGGAAGGTACCTCTGCAGGTGTTGTGGTAGGCTAGGTTGAACTGGGTCAAGTTAGGCGAAGTAAGGTGGTTAGGACCCGGTCAGACCGTAAGGCCTGGTCAGGTTGATTTTAATCTTTCATTCCTATTTGACATAGATACCTTAACTATGTTTTTGCTCCAGCCTGAATTTCATTAGGTAATGAGTTAATTTTGCTTTGTTTTTATCTGTCTTGTTTTGTGTTTTTGTCCCTTATATTTTGCCCCATAGGCAAGGGTGGAGCTTTTCCAGGGAAGGTGGTGGAGCATGATTGGAGGCGCTCAACCAGACGGCATAGGAGGGCACGGTTTCTGAACGCGCACTGATGCCTGATTCAAGCCACGCTGTCTTCATGTGTGGCGGCGCGCTACTTAAAAGTCCCTAAAAGAACGGGAAGTGAATAGTGATGCCGATAGAACCTTCAATCATTCTGGGCTAACGCTTATGACTTGGAAAAGGTCGCGATCCCAATTCAATCGAAAACCTGTGGGCTCTTGTTCAGCAGGAGGTGTATGAGGAGCCACCCGCCATAAGCACTGCTCAACCGCAGGCACAGGTTTAGGCGGCGTTGGTCCGCATCAAAGCCAGTGTGCTGGAGAATCCATTGGCTGAAATGCTCCAGAACATTCGCCACTGTGTGGGTTCCTCATTTCCCCTCTGACTGACCTTTGAAACCACTCCAAAGATATGCAGAAACCAACGAGGTGAGTAAACTGTGTTTTTATGAAAGGTGGCTACAAGCTCAGTTAAAAGAAAAAGTACCAGATTGTTTTGCTTTTACAGCGGGAAGAAAGGTGTCTGGATAATTTCGTTACACCCGCTGTAATGTTCAAATGGTTGCTAAATTCGAAATCAGCTCCAAAAACTAGCCTAGAAACATGTAAAACTCGAAAAAGTGAACCGAGGTCATCAAAGGTCATTGAGCTGACCTGACCTTCAGGTGACCTTGACGCCCACCCTAATGCATGGGACCAGCATCATATCACATGTTTCAACGCTTGAAACCACGTGAAAACTGCAACCGCGCGGCTAATGCGAGCCGACATACGCCGAATCGCGATTCGGGCCAAACATGGTCTCGAGAAATAGGTCACAGGTCAAAGGTCATTTGGGTCAGGGTCATGAAATTTTCAGGGTAGGTGTAAAATTGATAAAATCGGGGGTAATGAAAGTTTCATCGCGATCGGACGGTTTTTACGCGAGTTACTCACGAAAAACCGATAAAGCGTAAGCGCACCCAAAAAAGGCAGAAATATGCACATGCGATATCCTATACTGCGAAAAAAGGTGCATCATTTTTGAACGTCGCCGACAAATTGTAAATGCCCTAAGCTCAGGCGGATGTATGGTAGAAAATCCCCCAAGTGAAATACACTACGGCGGAAATAAAATACCCTACGGCGGAGCTCGGTTGCAATTTGTAAATACGCATAGCTACGTGTATTTTTAGTCCACTGATGCAAAGAAATTGGATCTAGTTTTAAAACTAAGCTCAAAA